GGGACAGAAGGGGGATTGGGGTATAATAGAGGGACAGAGGGATGTATCCTCATGGATGGAGGTGATAGGTGAATGATGGTGGTTGTAGTATCTCAGGTGTATATGACGGGGTGAGATGTTTATGTTTTATGGCTGCTATAAGCGTGAAGGGATGGGGGGAAAGGTCGCCACACACTGACACACCCGCCGGGTCGTATGCTGACTTTGTACGTGACATATATTGATATTGAGGACTGAGATGCGGATGAGTTGATGGTCACTTGTCATCCCGCAGAGGTAGTACAGAGGAGCCATTGAATGCGACGGGTTTGGGATCTGACTCAGACTGGGCCACCGTACCCTGAGGGGAGGATTCTACAATACAGATCTGTGATCTATACATGTTTGGCGCAGTGTGGCGGTTGGTGATATCAGAGACATCCGTGCGATCGCTGGACCCCAGATAACGTCTTATCGGTCAGATTACAACCGCCACACGCACGCTGTGAACGTCGCATGTAAAGTAGATGGAAATCCAATGCAAATGACATCGAGGTAACTTTGTGCATCATAAACAATTGTTATTCTTCTACAGTAACGTCCTTCATTTCGTCTTGGTGCTGCCGACCTCCTGCAGTCTCTTTGCAGCCACTTCCTGTCTACGTGCCCCCCCTTCCCAGTGATGGCGGCATGGTATTTCTCAGGGCCGGTTTCCTGGTGGTCCATGCCGGTGTATTGTGTAGTCTGCATGGAAAGCTCAAGTGACAATGTGACAACGCAGGAGCGCACCTGAAAGACAGGGACAGAGCGTTGTCACCTTATAACAGGAAGTGCCTGAACAAGGACCCTCATGGCAGGATCACCAAATAATTATTTTAATGAAAGCTGCAGATTGATACTTATGGAAGATGACCGCTGCCGTGTGCTCAATATTCACAGAAATACCATTTCCACATATCAGTGTCGGGGCATTCCTGCCCCTCCCCCCATAGGCTGACTTCCTGTTCAGTAATCTCAGCCTCCCTGCAGCCTTTAATGGCTGATAACGGAAATACGATAAGATGCCGCCGGCTTCATAACACACATAGATGAAAGAATATTCTTGTCACTTACTGTCCGGGAGACCTTTGTAGCCATGGCTGAGGAGGGGAGGAGCTGTGTAAGCGTCAGGTAAACCATAGAATGCCGGGAGTTGTAGTGGATGTTGGCAGCCAGGATGGGAGTTGTACTTCTCTGTATACAATGTGGCGGTTGGGAGATGCCAGGTCTGGTTCTAACATAGTTTGTAGTTGATGGTCATGCTGGGAGTTGTAGTGGATGTTCTGTAGTCACTGTCCTTACTGGGAGTGGTAGTGGATGTTCTGTAGTCACTGAGCTTACTGGAAGTTGTAGTGGATGTTCTGTAGTCACTGCGCTTACTGGGAGTTGTAGTGGATGTTCTGTAGTCACTGTCCTTACTGGGAGTTGTAGTGGATGTTCTGTATTCACTGCGCTTACTGGGAGTTGTAGTGGATGTTCTGTAGTTACTGGGAGTTGTAGTGGATGTTCTGTAGTTACTGGGAGTTGTAGTGGATGTTCTGTAGTCACTGTCCTTACTGGGAGTTGTAGTGGATGTTCTGTAGTCACTGCCCTTACTGAGAGTTGTAGTGGCTGTTCTGTAGTTGATGGTTATGCTGCAAGTTGCAGTGGATGCTCTGTAGTCAGTGCCCAGGCTGGGAGTTGTAGTAGGTATGTAGTAGTAGGTATGTAGTGGATGTTTTCTTGTCGCTGACCATGCTGGGAGTTGTGTATGTTCTGTAGTTGGAGGTCATGTTGGGAGTTATAGTGGATGTTCTGTAGGCAGTGGCAATGCTAGAGGTTGTGTTAGATGTTCTGTAGCTGAGGTCATGCTGGGAGTTGTAGTGAATGTTTTGCAGTCATGCTGGGAGTTGTAGTGAATGTTTTGCAGTCATGCTGGGAGTTGTAGTTCTCTGTATTCGATGTGGCAGACGGGGGTGATGATAGGTCAGGTTATAACGCATGGTGCTCTCTCTTTGTAGGTCCCTGCTGATTTTCCTGGTCTTCCTCTTGGGGGTCTCAGCAGAAGAGCCGCCCCCCGCCGCCTCTGCCCAGGACCCATGGGGGGATTTCTGGTTGGTCCGTTTCACTATAAACGTTGCCGGGTATGGGACAATACTGATACCGGGATGTCTGCTCATACACTACTTCAAACGCAAGAACTACCTGGAGACCGGTAAGCGTGTGTCATATATGTGTCTGCTATTCGTGTTTTCAGTTACTAGTCCTGATGCTGACACGGCCTCTGCTTATAAATAATGCTTTGTAGCTTCCTTCTCCATAAAAATGGTGGGAGGTTGAGATTCCTAATCAGCCAGTTTTTTTTGGGTCCCTGTATGGGGAGAGATGGACAGTTGGGGGTCTCAGTATGGAGATAGATGGACAGTTAGGGGTCCCAGTATGGAGAGGGATGGACAGTTGGGGTCCCTGTATGGAGAGGGATGGACAGTTGGGGTCTCAGTATGGAGAGAGATGGACAGTTGGGGTCCCAGTATGGAGAGACATGGACAGTTGGGGTCCCAGTATGGAGAGAGATGGACAGTTGGGGTCCCAGTATGGAGAGAGATGGACAGTTGGGGGTATCAGCATGGAGAGAGATGGACATTTGGGGGTCTCAGTATGGAGAGAGATGGACATTTGGGGGTCTCAGTATGGAGAGAGATGGACATTTGGGGGTCCCTGTATGGAGAGAGATGGACAGTATGGAGAGAGATGGACAGTTGGGGTCCCTGTATGAGGAGAGATGGACAGTTGGGGTCCCTGTATGGAGAAAGATGGACAGTTGGGGTCTCAGTATGGAGAGAGATGGACAGTTGGGGTCTCAGTATGGAGATAGATGGACAGTTGGGGGTCTCAGTATGGAGAGAGATGGACAGTTGGGGTCTCAGTATGGAGAGAGATGGACAGTTGGGGGTCTCAGTATGGAGAGAGATGGACAGTTGGGGTCCCAGTAAGGAGAGAGATGGACAATTGGGGGTACCTGTTCAGTTGGGGGTCTCAGTATGGAGATAGATGGACAGTTGGGGGTCCCAGTATGGAGAGAGATGGACAGTTGGGGTCCCTGTATGGGGAGAGATGGACAGTTGGGGTCCTCAGTATGGAGAGAGATGGACAGTTGGGGTCTCAGTATGGAGAGAGATGGACAGTTGGGGTCCCTTTATGGAGAGAGATGGACAGCTGGGGTCCCTGTATGGGGAGAGATGGACAGTGGGGGTCCCAGTATTGAGAGAGATGGACAGTTGGGGTTCATGTATGGAGATAGATGGACAGTGGGGGTCCCAGTATGGAGAGAGATGGACAGTTGAGGTCCCAGTATAAATAAAGATGGACAGCGGGGGTCCTGTATTATTGTATCGGTTTTCTTCGTACTTTTTTTTGGTCGGGGCATCTGTTTTCCACTGATAAAGTCCTGTGTGTTTGGCCATGAGTCAAAAACTTTGGTTCCGGATGAACCTTCATCGACCACCCGCATGGAAGGAGATCCCAGTACCTCCCAGCAGGCTCTGAAACTTCTCTTTTGTGCAGCCGGACTCCAGGTGAGAAGCAAAGAGATGAGAGTAGAAGGGAGAGTCCCGGGATAAGTAGAAGGGAGAGACCCAGGATGAGAGTAGAAGGGAGAGACCCGGGATGAGAGTAGAAGGGAGAGACCCGGGATTTGAATAGGAGGGAGAGTCCCGGGATGAGAATAGTAGGGAGAGACCTTCTATATAGGAGGGTCCTGGGATGAGAATAGAAGGGAGGGTCCTGGGATGAGAATAGAAGGGAGAGACCCGGGATGAGAATAGAAGGGAGAGTCCCGGGATGAGAATAGAAGGGAGAGTCCCGGGATTGAGAGACCCGGGATGAGAGTAGAAGGGAGAGACCCGGGATGAGAGTAGAAGGGAGAGACCCGGGATGAGAGTAGAAGGGAGAGACCCGGGATGAGAGTAGAAGGGAGAGACCCGGGATGAGAGTAGAAGGGAGAGACCCGGGATGAGAGTAGAAGGGAGAGACCCGGGATGAGAGTAGAAGGGAGAGACCCGGGATGAGAGTAGAAGGGAGAGACCCGGGATGAGAGTAGAAGGGAGAGACCCGGGATGAGAGTAGAAGGGAGAGACCCGGGATGAGAGTAGAAGGGAGAGACCCGGGATGAGAGTAGAAGGGAGAGACCCGGGATGAGAGTAGAAGGGAGAGACCCGGGATGAGAGTAGAAGGGAGAGACCCGGGATGAGAGTAGAAGGGAGAGACCCGGGATGAGAGTAGAAGGGAGAGACCCGGGATGAGAGTAGAAGGGAGAGACCCGGGATGAGAGTAGAAGGGAGAGACCCGGGATGAGAGTAGAAGGGAGAGACCCGGGATGAGAGTAGAAGGGAGAGACCCGGGATGAGAGTAGAAGGGAGAGACCCGGGATGAGAGTAGAAGGGAGAGACTCGGGATGAGAGTAGAAGGGAGAGACCCGGGATGAGAATAGAAGGGAGAGACCCAGGATGAGAATAGAAGGGAGCGTAGACCCGGGATAAGAGTAGAAGGGATGATGGATGTCAGGGATTCTTAGCAATCTGTATTTTCCTTCTCACAGGTCTCCTACCTGACATGGGGTGTCCTGCAGGAGCGCGTAATGACCCGTACCTACACCAGCACAGAACCCGACAGCCACGGAGAAAAGTTCCGAGACTCTCAGTTCTTAGTGTTCATGAACCGGATCTTGGCTCTGACTGTGGCCGGAATCTATTGTGGCCTCACCAAACAGCCCCGTCATGGTGCGCCCATGTACAAATACTCCTTTGCCTCTCTGTCCAACATCCTCAGCAGCTGGTGTCAGTACGAAGCTCTCAAGTTCATCAGTTTCCCCACCCAAGTCCTCGCTAAAGCCTCCAAGGTCATTCCCGTCATGCTGATGGGAAAGTTGATCTCGCACAAGAGTTATGAGTATTGGGAGTATTTCACGGCCGTCCTCATCTCAGCTGGGGTCAGCATGTTCCTGCTGTCCAACGGGGAAAGTTCTCGTCCTTCTGGGGTCACCACCTTCTCCGGAGTGGTCATTCTAAGTGGCTACATTGTGTTTGACAGCTTCACGTCCAACTGGCAGGACTCTCTTTTCAAGTACAAGATGTCCTCTGTGCAGATGATGTTTGGGGTCAACCTCTTCTCCTGCCTCTTCACGGTTTTCTCTTTGCTGGAACAGGGTGCCCTGCAGGAGGCGGTGAGCTTCATGACCCGGCACCCGGACTTCGCTTTCCACGCCGCCCTCCTCTCCGTCTGTTCAGCTTTCGGACAGCTTTTCATCTTCTACACCATCAACAAGTTCGGGGCGGCCATGTTCACCATCATCATGACTTTGCGCCAGGCGCTGGCGATTCTCTTGTCCTGCTTGCTCTACGGTCACCCGGTCACACCCATCGGCTCAGTAGGGGTGGCAGTCGTCTTTCTGGCCTTGTTCCTCCGTGTCTATGCCCGGAGCCGGATGAAGAGGAAGGGCAGGAAGGCAGCTGATAACACGGTGGTGCAGAAGGTGTGAGGCGCCTCTACATCGCAAATATTCCACTCTGCGACTTATTACTGACCTATTTAAGAGGTCCTCATCTCCTGAACTGATGGGAAGTTTAAAGCTGGCCTCTACGCTGGCTTTATTTAATTGGCACAATGCGGTGGAGATACCTGAACTTTGTGCCGAGTGTCTACTGCAGACCAAACTTCTCTGCAAGTGCAGAGCAAACGTAATGTTTGTGGATCTTTCTGTTTTTTTTATTTTAATTTAGAAGCAATCAGCATTATTAAATGGTACATTTACATTGTCGTCTGAAGTATCATTTATTGGAATTGATCATCGTTATTATTATGGGGATTTTAAAGGTACTAATGTTAGAGTGGAGACTGTGAGCCCGGCCTTCTCCCCCAACATCAGTACCTGACCTCACAAATGGTCCAACATTCCCATAGACACACTCCTAAACCCCTACGGACTAGACTGGGATGCCATTAAAGTTCATGTTTTTAATCAATTTATTTTTTTTTATTTTTACTTTTTTATAATTTACTTTTTTTATAGTTTTTATCTTATTGTTTTTTATAATTATTTTCTTATTTTTTACTTTTTGATCACCTTTTTATTTTTTTATTTAATATTTTTTTAACATCTTTTTTAAATCAATGTAATTTTTTTTCCCACCTAACGTTATGGTAGTGTGCGGCCGCCGGCCACCTTACACTGGCGCCTGCAACTTCCCCACAAGGTCACCGCTGCCGCCCCGAGGCCGGGCCTCGGTGGCCTTGTGGGAAATCCGGGCCTGCATGTGTGTGTAAAGGCCGGCGTCCAAATACTTTTGGTAATATAATGTATCAAGAGATTCACCGAAGAGGTGCTCCCCGGCAATAGGAAAACATGCAAGAGGCGCTTCCTGCCCTGAAATTCAGCAGCTCAACACTTCAGCCAAAGGGACGTCCTCGTGTGGATAGACAGGAGATCCAGTCTAGATATTTGGTGGATAACGTCCCCAAGTCCATCTACGTAGTAGGAAAGAGCTGCAGGAAAGAACTCCAGTTGAGTATCCATTGGTTTATTAGTACCTAAGCCCTGAGAGATGGCCTTGGACCAGACCGCCATGGTCTGACATACAAACATGGACGCAGAAGCAGGTTGCAGGGTTGGTCCTTGAGAAGGGTTTCAAGCCTTTTGTCCATTGGGTCTTTAAACATTGGGACGTCCTTCACAGGGACAATCAACGTCACGTTAAGGCAGGAAATGGCCAGACCCACCACATGGTTGAACCATTTTTTAAGGAGCCCATCCTCCGTGCAATATAGCTGAGCCCAATGTGTGGGGGAAGAAAGACTTCATCAGGGTTGGGCCAGTCTCTATAAAAAAAACAGGCTGTAAAAGAGAATGTACAGGGAAGGTTTTTGGAGGCCGGGAACTTGAACCCAGGTTAACAACCTTAGTCACTGTTGACGGAAGCAGGTTCTAGGTCAAGGCATGGGTGTACAGCACCGAGGAAGGACAAAAATAATATCCCTAAGCAAAGGCGATGAGGCCGGAGATAAGGTAATGGTCCGCGTTTTTATGTGGATCAGCTGCAGCTAGAGGCAATTCAGAGACAGACTCTGAAGGAGAGGCTGCCAGTCGCCTCTATATAAATACCTGTAATATATAAATATTAAATAACAATAATCGCCAACTTATGCCATTACCTAACAAATTTAAAAGGGCAAAAGTTATACCGAGGTGGTTAGGAGAAAAGCGTGGCCTTTAAAACGTACAAGATGGAAGGGTCATCAAATGACGAAGGCGAAGCACATAGGCCCCATAAAAGACAAGCGGGGCAAGCTGTCCACAAGTGACAGGGAGAAAGCAGAGGTATTGGACACTTTCTTCCTCTTCTGATGAGCGGGACGGGTATGAGAAAGTGAAACCGATTTTAATTTTGGACTGGATGAAGCGCAGTGGACAGAGGCGGAAATAAAGAAGAGGCACACTGATAAATCTCCGGGACCAGATGGCTTACATCCACGGGCCCTCAAAGAACTGAGTCTGGTTATTGCCAGACCATTGTTTTTTAATCTTTAGGGACACATTGAGGACGGGAGAGGTACCAGAGGACCGGAGGAAAGCGAATGTGGTGCCGATATTTCAAGAAAGGTTCAAGATGTGTATCAGGTAACTACAGGCCAGTCATCCTTACATCAGTAATATGAGAGGTTTCTGAGGGATTGGTTAGGGATTATATTAAATAATGTACATGTGAGAACAGTATCATAAGTACGAACCAGCACGGATTTATGATGCCAGACAATCTGTTAACATTCTATGAGGAAGTAAGTTGTGAGGTGGACGGGGAATCCCAGTTGTCTTAGTCTTTCTAGATTTTGCAAAGGCGTTTGACACACGACCCCACCCACGGTTAGTTTACAAACTGAGGCCGATGGGCATTGAAGGACCAATATAGACATGGATAGAAAACCGGCTGCAGAGGGTTGGGATGAATGGCTCATTCTCTAAATGGTCCAAAGTGGTGAGGGGAGTGCCCCAGGGTTCAGTCTTGGGGCCAATTCTGTTTGTCTTGTTCAATAATGACATTGAGGTGGGAAGAAATATCTCCCTGTCAGTGCTGACGATACAAAGTTATGGGAGTAAAGAAGATCGCACCAAGACACAGAATCCTGGCAGCAAGACCTCGATAAGGCTGGAGAGTGGCAGCCATGTGACAGATGAGCTCTAATCTAGATAAATGTCAAGTCATGCACTTGACCTTGGAGCTAGAAAATGCATGCAGAACAGTGGCGTCACAAGAGGGGTGCGGCCCGCACCCGGGTGACACCATTTCAGGGGTGACACCAAAATTACTGTCATTCATTTTGGTGTCACCCCCTGTAAAAAGTGGGGCACTTGGTCATGGACTGAGAGCCCGACAGTGTAAAGAGAGAGGAGAGGACCCGGCTGCATACCTCATCCCGCCGGGTGAACGCCCCCCTCCTCTCTCTGCCGACGTCCATCACCAAGATGGCCGCTGGCAGGCGTCAATCAGATGGCTGTGCATGCGCCAGGTGACGTCACGCACGATGACGACACGGCAGGGTGTCACCCAGTCTGCAGAACAGGTAACACCCGGCCTCGGGACACCCCTGATGCAGAATACACCTTAGGCGGGTCTCACTGGGGAAAACGGTGATGGAGAAGGATCTTGGGGTCCTTCTAGACCACAGACTCAGCAATATCATACAGTGCCAAGCTGCAGCTAATAAAGCCAATAGTATATTATCTCGCATCAAAAGTGGGATTTATTCCCGGGACAGAAATATCGTTTTGACACTTTACAAAACACTGGTGAGGCCCCATCTAGAGTATGCGGCTCAAGTCTGGTCACCAATCCGCAGGAGGGATGTCCGTGAGCTAGAAAAGGTTCAGAGAAGGGCAACCAAATTATGAAGGTGGATGGAGGGTCTGAGTTATCAAGAACGTCTACAAAAATTAGGATTAAAGAGAAGAGACGCTTAAAGGGTTATTAAACCCTCGCATGTTTTTGCATATATAAGGCTAGCAAGTCGTAGATATATGCCAAAAAAACACTTTTAAGAACGGCTTTAAAAGCCGCGCACTCCCGTCCGAACATCTGAAGAGTCTCGGGCAGCCGCAAAGGATCTTGGGGCAGGCGCATGCGCAGTTCAGATGTTCGGCTGGGAGACGAGGAGAGACACAAGGTAAGTCTATGGAGCAGCGTGCACCCGCACAGACACTGTGGGACATCAGAGGAGAGGAGGACAGAGGAGTCAGCACTGGATCGGAGACCCGCACCATCGCTGGAGGGACAGCTGAAAAGGACAGGAAAGAAGAAGATTAAGGCGAGTCCCTACAGTAGGATTGGGAAGGGGCAAAAAAAAGTTTGACTTTAATGTCACTTTAAAGGAGAACTATGAGGCGAGTGAAAATCACTTAGCCTCATAGTTTGAGCCGACCTGTGACAATGAAACTGTCACAGGTCGGCTCAGTAGATCGGGAAGTGAGCAAGCAAAAAAACGTCGCTCGATCATCTCCCTGTAGGGAGCCGTGACTGTCAGTCACGGCTCCCTGCAGGGATTTCCCCCCTCCCCTGTCCGATCCTCCAGCGCTGACTGGCGGAACGGACGGGGGTGGGTACAGCTGGCTCTGCCTCTAAATAGGCGGAGCCAGCTGTCACTCACGCAGCTGGGTGGATCTCGACAGTAATGTCAGGATCCGTCCCGGCTGCGGCGCTCTCAGTATACAGCGAGCTGTAGCTTTGGGTCACCGGAGGACGCTAGTATATGTCCTCCCATGACCCTTAGGAGAACTATGGGGAAACACACTTACCCCATAGTTCTTCTTTAAGAGGTGACTTGGTTGCAATTTGAAAACTCATCAATGGGGACAGCAGTATTGGGAATGTACGGCTTACACCAAGAACATGGGGGAGGACAGGAGGACACAAGAAGAAGTTGGAGGGGAGGAGGTATGATCCTAAACTGCGTAAGGGAGAAATAAAAATGTGGAATTCACTTCCACAGATAGTTGTATCACCAAGAAACATAAACTGCTTCAGAAAACACTTGGATGAGTTCCTCAGTACACAACACATACAGAGTTATTAAAATTCCGAGCATTTTACACGCACATTATATAAGTTGAAGCCGATGGACCCGAGTCTGTATTCAGCCTCACCTACTATATAACTATGTCAATATGTAACTAAATGTAAACAGAGGTAACTACTGCGGGCAACATCCAGAACTAGGACAACGCAGAGCCCGTAACAAATGTAACACAACAGAAATCAAGGACAAATACTCATACATACCAACACACATACTCGCACAACACGGCTATAACATACAACAAACACACACCAGCTCCCCCGCTCTCCGCTCAGCCCCAGGCAGTAGATAACAAAGGAAAGAAAGGGACGGTTACCTTCACAATGTTAAGCAAAAACAGCCACATATTCACTGGCCGGGGGAAGGCTCCACCGGAAGAGACAAGAAGATTCCAACCATGGCTGCCAAATTGTGTAAAACTTTCATGAACACGCTCTACCGTCGAAGATAAGTGAATTTTGGAAGTGCCAAAACCTGTTGCACGTTAGGAGGAAGGTCGCTTTTCCAGTTGAGTAGAACGGCTTCCCTAGTGTGAAAGAGAATCTTCCTATACATAGAGCGACTTGTAGGCTACAAAATCATCCAATACTCCCGGGAATGCTAAAAACTAGGGCTGCACCGATACCGGTATTTTGGTACCGAGTACCGATAAATTTTTTCGATACTCGCCGATACC